AACCAAACGGGGTTAATACCATATTTTTGGAAACATTGGTTTCTGGAAATGGTACTGTGACATTACCATGGCAATACCATTTCATATCAAAGTAATGCCATGTTTTGTTTAGTGTTTTTGGACATTTTGCATGGTAATACTATTTTTTTTTTCATATGCACCATAGTACTTTAACTTTTGGACATTAATACCATGTTTTTTTATATGTACCATAGTAAAACCACAGTTTCTGAAAATGGTACCATATTTATGTTCATACCCAGGTGCATCTAAAAAAATTAGAATATTGTGAAAAAGTTAATTTTTTTGTAACATTTCAAAAAGTAAAACTTTCATATATTATAGATTCATTACATGTAAAGTAAAACCCTGAAAGTTTTTTGTTTTAATTTTGTTGATTAGAGCTTACAGCTCATGAAAGTCCAAAATCCAGTATCTCAAAATATTAGAATATTTACATTTGAGTTTTATTAAATGACCATCCCAACAGAATAAATTCCGGGTATCTCTTGTTCTTTGAAACCACAATAATGGGGAAGACTGCTGACTTGGCAATGGTTCAGAAGACAATCATTGACACCCTCCACAAAGAGGGTAAGTCACAGAAGGTCATAACTGAAAGGGCTGGTTGTTCACAGAGTGCTGTATCAAAGCATATTAAATGCAAAGTTGACTGGAAGGAAGAAATTGGGTAGGAAAAGGTGCACGAGCAAAAGGGATGACCGCAAGCTTGAGAATACTGTCAAGCAAAGCCGATTCAAACACTTGGGAGAGCTTCACAAGGAGTGGACTGAAGCTGGAGTCAGTGCATCAAGAGTCACCACGCTCAGACGTCTTCAGGAAAAGGGCTACCAAGCCACTTCTGAAACAGAAACAACGTCAGAAGCATCTTACCTGGGCTAAGGAGAAAAAGAACTGGACTGTTGCTCAGTGGTCCAAAGTCCTCTTTTCAGATAAAAGTACATTTTGCATTTAATTTGCATATCAAGGTCTGGAGGAAGACTGGAGAGGCACAGAATCCAAGCTGCATGAAGTCCAGTGTGAAGTTTCCAAAGTCAGTGATGATTTGGGGTGCTGTGACGTCTGCTGGTGTTGCTCCATTGTGTTTTATCAAGTCCAAAGTCAATGCAGCCATCTACCAGGAGATTTTGGAGCACTTTATGCTTCCATCTGCTGACAAGCTTTATGGAGATGCTGATTTCCTTTTCAAGCAGGACTTTAGCACCTGCCCACAGTGCCAAAACCACTTCCAAGTGCTCTGCTGACCATGATATTACTGTGCTTGATTGGCAAGCAAACATGCCTGACCTGAAACCCACATGGAATCTATGGGATATTTTCAAGAGAAAGATGAGAAACAGTCGATCCAACAATACAGATGAGCTGAAGTCTCAATAGTGCCTCAGCAGAGCCACAAGGCTGATCGCTCCATGCCACACCTCACTGATGCTGGAGTTTGTGCTAAAGGAGCCCCGACCAAGTATTGAGTGCATAAATTAACATACTTTAAAAAACTTAAACTTTTCTGTTTTGCAAATTCTTTTTTTGATTGATGAGAATCACAAATTTTTGATAGAATATTAGGAAATATTCTAATATTTTGAGATACTGGACTTTTGACTTTCATGAGCTGTAAGCTCTAATCATCAAAATTAAAACAAAAGAAACGTTTGAAATTATTTACTTTACATGTAATGAATCTAGAAAATTTACATTTTTTAAATGTTACAAAAAAAAAAGAACTTTTTCACGATATAAAATTTTTTTTTAGATGCACCTGTATATCTCAATAATACCATGTTTCTTTGGATGTGTACCATGGAATACACTTACAAAAGACTACCATGATTGTATTTTTTTAGACCATGGTATAGTACACTTACATATTGTTGCTCTTTTGTTGGTTTAATTGCTTCAATTGTCCTCTTTTGTAAGTTGCTTTGGATAAAAGTGTCTGCTAAAAGATTAAACGTAAATGTAATGTAAATGTATAGCCACTACATTCTTGAAAGTTGAATGTCATGTAAATACCATGGTAATTTTAGTACCACAGCATATCAATACATTGCTCTACAATATCAGTACATCAGTGTATTGATACCATTATCAATACAATGGTATTACCATCTGATACCACTGATGAACCATGGTAAAACAACAGTACTTTTATCTGAGAGTCCTTAAATGTATCAGCTACACTCACAGCTACACAACCAGTGTATGAAGATCCACACACCCACTGACAGCAGAGAGAATGTCACGTTTGCAGGGGGTCACTAACATTTTCCCCCCAAGAGTCATAAAATCAGGTAACAGATAAAAACAGGTAAACAGTCGGTCCAGCCTCCTGCCTCACCAGCTGACCACACAGATTTCTGCCATCTGTGAAATGGAGTTTGAATGAGAAGGATGGCAGGATAGAGAGAAGGTCACGGAGGAGGAGGAGGAGGAGGAGGAGGGGACGATCAGAGGGATGAGGAAGGTGAAGAAAAGTAGGAGGAAAGGCCAGACAGAGATACAGGCCAGCCACACTTGACCTTTACCACCCACATGTGTCAGTGACAGAGAAGGGCGCTGGTGTGGCTTTACCATCTCACCCCTCCGGGAGAAACACTATCGCTCTAACCACCTCAATTAACCCTGATTCCTCTCTTAACGATGGGATCACAAGGTCTCACTTTCTACTGCTTTCTACTTTCATTAAATTGTGTCCCTAGGAGGGGTGAATCCCAGCCTATCACTGTATATGAGTGATGGACAAGCTTCTTTTTTAGAGCTTCTTATATATGTATTGTATATATATATGTACACAAGAAAAAATGTTTGTTATTGATTTTTTATTTAAAAAAATACTTTTAATGCTATGCAAAATGTTCGAAAGTGTAAATTGTGCAGTAATCAGTAAAGTAGTGTTTAATTTCAAACCAGTAAATAACATCTTTACTGAGAGTTAGGGCAGAGAATCATTACCAACAAGAATCGATTCCAAGTTGTTGGGAGTTGAGAGAGTCAATAAATTCCACTTAGAGGAATCGACTTTACTGAAGGGCCAAAGATGTCCGGTCGTGACATGAATTAGGCTTTGCCCATTATTTTAATTATCAAACCACTACACATCCTTAACAATTACCCTTAACAGTTAGGGATTTTGACTCCAATGTTTTGAGTAGTGTGGGTCAGGCTTTAAACCATTTACTCAACAGAATTGCTCAAAAAAACAAATCACTCATGTCCTCTAAACAACTCTGAATGTAGATTTTAAAAAGACGGCAGCAAAATCGATCGATTCCGGAATTTTCAGCCCTACTTCATGTAAACATTAGGTTTCCAGATCACTATAGGAAAAATTTTTTGTTGGTTCCTAGAACGTTCTCAAAACATACATTTTTAGAGTTTCTAATGTAACGTAAGCACAAAACAAAGCTGCTCTGCGAGCCCAGCCCTGGAGTGCCCGCAGTAAAGGCTTCTAAGTAGCATGAGCTAATAATAAGACCCAGGTCCTGAGGCAAAAGTCAGCATAACTAAGGCCTTTTCCACTTGCAAGGGGATCAGGGAGATTAGGCGGATGAGATTCGTGCCTGAAGGGCAGGGATGTCCAGGTTATAAAATCTAGTGAAGGTAGACAACTGTCACAGGTTGCCTAATGTGGCAGAGGCGAGGAGACAAAGGAGCGTGGAGACGAAGAGGATTAACAGGAAACAGTCTTTATTTCTCCAAATAAAGAACACACAGACAGGAACTCACACGTAGGACAAGGGGTTGATATTCAATTCCAGACAAGGGAGAACAGAACAGGCTCAAACTCAAATAGGGCAGATAACGAGGGGCAGACAGGTGATGAGGATAACTAATAACAAGGAACAGGACGATTACTAATAATGGGAAAAGGAACTGGAAGGACCAAATAAGGACAAACAGGAACTAAACAGGAACACACACGGGACAACAGCGAAGACCAGCCGGCGGCCGCACAGATGTCTCCAATTGAAACTCTGCTGGACCAAGCCCAGGAGGAGGCCATTCCTCTGGTGGAGTGAAGGCCACAGGGCTATAGCATCAGCTATCCAGCGGCATAGTCTCTGCTTCATAACTGACAGCCCTTTAGAGTGGCCTCCGAAGCATACGAAGAGCTGCTCTGATTGCCTAAAGTGGCCAGAGCGCTCAACATAAGGCGCTTTCGCAACACGTAGTTCTAGGAACTTAGTTCTGGGAACTAGCCAGGATGGTGGTTCCTAGAGAACCAATTTCTCTCTCGGGCCATTTTCCTGGTTGCATTCGCACCAGCAGCAGGAGCTCTGAAGCAGCCGACAGCAACGTCTTTATTTGCGGCATTTACAAACGTCAACAACCGCTGAATGGAGAATGCCGTGATTGGAGCCGTTTTTGTTGTGTGTTGCGGGGTTTTATGATAACGGAGATAGAATGTAAATGCAAAATTTACGCGATTGAAAGAGCATGAAAATCTGACTAAATCTCCTATGACAACTTGCAGTGTTATCATCAAGGCTGAAAAAAGAACATAACACTGCAGACAACAGGTAAATGCCATTATCACTGTTTTCCATGTTCGTGGAATAAATATTTTTACACTGTTTATTCAAAATGCTGGGTAGCCGGTGTTAAGCGTTTGGCCAATCAGCATACACTTACGTCATTGGTAGTTCCTATAGAACTGTTTTAGACCCTACTCTGAAGATAAATATTTTTACACTGTTTATTCAAAATGCTGGGTAGCCGGTGTTAAGCGTTTGGCCAATCAGCATACACTTATGTCATTGGTAGTTCCTATAGAACTGTTTTAGACCCTACTCTGAAGTAGGAGCTAATTTAGTTCCCCCAAATGGAGTTCCTAGAACTAAATACGTTCCTAGTTCATGCGGTGTGAACACACCAAAAACCAGCTACTTCCGCCAATAGTTCTAGAAACTATGAAAAGGTTCCTCCGGTGCGAAAGTGCCTATACACTCTAAGGGCCTGAACTGGGCAGGGGAAATTCAGACCCTGCTCATCCTCTGAGTTAGGAAGAGCCAGAAGGGTGATAACTTGTGCTCTGAACGAGTGCAGAACGTCTTGGGCATATAGCCATGTCTTGGTTTGAGGATGACTCTACAGTCGTTAGACCCATACTTAAGGCAGGAAGCACTGACTAAGAACACTTGCAGATCACCCACTCGCTTGACCGATACTAAAGCTAGAAAAAGAGCAGTCTTAAGCGACAGGGGCTGTAAGTTGGCTGACTGGAGCGCCTCAAAGGGGGACCTCGAAGGGCCCTGAGGACCTTGGATAAGTCCCAGGTCAGCACAGTATGAGGAAGAGGCAGATTCAGTCTTCAAGCTCCCCTCAGGAATTTAACAACAAGATTGTTTTTGCCGACTGACTGGTCAGCCACTAGTGGGTGATTCACCGTGATGGCTGCCACATATACTTTGAGTGTGGAAGGGATGCACCCTTTATCCAGCAACTCTTGATGAAAGGTTAACACAGATGACACGTCACATAAGGACGGGTCCTTGTTCTGTGTTGCAAACCAAACTGAAAACACAGACCACTTAAGGGCATAGAGGCATCTCGTAGACGGGGCTCTAGCCTCCCAAAAGCATTTCAACACAAGAGACCATTTTCAAAAGGGAACTTTCTTTATTGAAATAAAATGTTCTTTCTCAGTTTCCAGAACATTGCTTTAAAAATAATCATTAAGTGAAATGTTCTGTATAAGTTATTTTATGATTATCTAAAAAAAAAACTCCCTCCAACATTATTTTATGGTTGTAAAAACATAAAACCTAAAAAAGAACGTTCCCAGAATGTTATTATTTGGTTCCCGTTAGGGAAACATTCTGTGTTTGCAGAGCTTGCTGTACTTTGGACCTGGTCAATAGAGCCACAATTAATTGAAAATGAATTTCTTTTGTGTCCAGCTGAATTTCTCTCAGCAATTTTCAATTTAACACAGAAATATGAGTCAGTTTGTTAATTCACAGCGTGGCACAAAGGGGATCAATTAAGGTTGATAATCAAACCTTGCTTTCATTTACACCTCATTTTAACCTGAGGACTAATAACTGATTTCATAACTGACTTGAAAAATAAATTTGATAAGGGCATAAAACCCTGGGGATATTTGCTTTCCCATCAATTAAGGTTGATAATCAAACCTTGCTTTCATTTACACCTCATTTCAACCTGAGGACTAATAACTGATTTCATAACTGACTTGAAAAATAAATTTGATAAGGGCATAAAACCCTGGGGATATTTGCTTTCCCTGTGGCGCCATAAGAGCTGATGACATGAAGATTACAGTCCCTGCCATGCTGACTTACCATAGTGCATCTCTGTGGAGCCTGATAGTCTTTATCAACGTCTAATTGGGGTTAATTAGGCTTTAAAATAACCTCACTGGAAATGCTGTAGTTATGATGAGATTACATGATGAGCTGCTGTGAGCTTTGCACATCTGAAAGACAAGGAGAGAAGGAAAAGTTTGCCTTACTTGATGGAGAGATGGGGAAAGTTGAAGCACAGAATAAAAAAAGGCCGGCGGGATGTAGTGTCACATGGAACCGCAACATTTAATGACAAATGTTGGTTCATGTAGCACCTGTGTGGTCCAATGTAGTTTGGAGATCGAAATGAGACTTGCCGAAAGCTGTGATGTGATTATTTGCTCAGTTCAACCAAGTCCATATGACTGTTGTGTTGCCATCAGCCGAGAAAAGTCTCAAAACTCTGTGCAATAACAGTGTTGTGGCAGCTCACCCCGAAGACACAAACGAATGTTTCATGATGGATTGAGAGTAAACACTGGAGAAATAAATGAATTCTTTTCTCTTGAGTTAGCAGAGCAAATGCCATAGTTAAAGTTAAACTTGCTGTATATAGCAAAACAGATCAGGATTCAAAGCGAAAAAAAACATTTTCTGTAAAGTTGTTTGTTTAGCTATTTTGTGTTCTTTTCTTCTCTTTTTTAGGGCTTTTCACACTGCACTTATCCCCATTGTTCTAAACCCTGCTTTTAACTCCAGGTAAAGAAATGTTTCACACTTCATTTAGGGTACGTTTACATGACAACAATGTACTAAAAACAGAAAAGTTTTTCCTTTGTGTTATTGAAAATGTTCGCATACAGATGACAACATTGGCTCCATTTACACTTGGCATTAACATGCGATCACTGCGATCCGATCAAGAAGATCGGATCATCAGTCAATCAGGACAAGGCGGGTTTACACTTGGCAACATAATCGGACTTCTCTATCTGGATAACCGATCAGATCTGTCTTTCCTGCGCAATATTATAAGTCTGCAGAGGATGGCCCTGGTGCAAAGTCGACCTGAAGTGGTGGGTTTTATTTTGCCAGCTGTGGTGGGAAAAATGTGCATTCTTTACAGAGAATGAGTGGTTCTGCAACTTTCAGGTTCTCTTCTCCATCTTTCTTCCGACATTTCGGGAGAGAGGGGACAGGGTTTGACGTGAAGTTGACCTGCGAATGCAGACACGATGGCTGGATTGCGTTTACATTACACTGAGCTCCGTTCACACGGCGTCGACCTGCGAATGCAGACACGATGGCTGGATTGCGTTTACATTACACTGAGATCCGTTCACAATGCGTCCATGACTACCTCTGGATCAGGACGCATTCCGATCAGAAGCGTGTTTACATTTGTCTTTTCAATGTGTATGTGGACAACATCTAGATACAGGTCGCATGTTAATGCCAAGTGTAAACGCAGCCATCGTCAAAAAGATCCCCGTTCACACAGATCCACGTCATGCCAGGCCCGTAGTTGGCGATGTCAGTTTGTAAATAAACATCTGTGCACATACCAACAGAATGTGCATGACATCACACATTTGCATTTTCATAGTTTACACAGAGACAATAACGGTATCGTTTTCAGAAACTTTTGAACCTGTTTTCAAAAGTTTACATTTTCACGGCCCCAAAATGCAGTTGTTGTGTAACGGGGAGTTTATACGACACCATTTTCATTTAAAACACTGAAAAAATTTAATACGTTTTACGGCCTAAAAATGCAAACCTTTGAAAATGGTTTTAAAGCGCTGTGAAAGTTGGAAAAAAATAATAAAAATGTAAAAAGATATTGTTCGTCTCAAACAAGCGAATTTGTGAAAACAGTGATTTCATGCGGATATTAGGCTACGTGTTAGTCTATGGGTGTTTCTCAAACGGAAGGCTGCATCCTCCGAAGGCTGCATATCTCGGCTGCCACGTCATCAAACATCACTGAAGGCCATCTCAATCGCAAGGATCCTTGGAAGGCAGGCTTCGTTTCGCGTCCTTCATTCAGCTGAATTTGAAGGATGCATGGGATGTATCCTCCGTGACCTTCAATCACCCACAATCCTTTGTACCCATTCCATTTCATGACAATAAACTGACGAAAAACGATTCAGTACTGAGCTTGTCTGAATTTATTATGAAATGTAAGACAAAAATAATGCTTCCAGACATGAAAGCATAGATGTTATTTTTTGTTTTGGATCAACATTGGCTACCAGAAATCGCTTACCCTGCCTTTAATAGAAAGCCAAATAATATAATGATTTGTAATACTAAGTATTTTTCCAAAACTAAGTTTTATTAGTATTTTCGTGCCGTGGCGGTGAGTGGCGGATCGCGGCAACCACATGTGACGGACCCCGGGCTGGACTCCGCTTCGTCCACGGTGAAAGTTGATGTATTCCCTCAGCGACCAGCACGGATCAGCTCTAGGCATGACGAAGCGGATATCGTCCTCTTTTGGAAAACCAAACAAAGTAGTTTCGCTTTCACAACGAAGCACACAGCGTCTTCACGACATGGCGGCAGCGGCAACAATACTACAGCGAGAATAAAAGTTACGCCTTCTTTCTTTACGTGAACATTTGGGCGGCGTTATGCAAATCTTCCCACATAGTGATGTAGATATGTGGGGGCGTGTTAGAACGAGCCGTTTTAGGTAAGTGTGGCTGACTCTGAACTTTTATAAAGAATATCTCTTTGGATTTGAGACTTTAGTCTTTGCAACTTTACAGATCTTCTTTATGCACCAAGAGCTTGTAACACTCCAAAGAGAAAGGAAAAATTTAAATCGCATCATATGACCCCTTTAACCGATTTTAAAACCATGGGAGACCACAGACATGAAGAGAGTTCAACCGATTTTTAGCCCTATAATCCTCTGAACGCACACACTAGACGATTCGACCAGACCGCAAGACCACACACTTGTCGATTTCACAGTGGCAAGTGATCTCATTGACATTCGCGAGATCAAACGTGACTAGAGAAGAAAAACAAAAAGAATACAATCAACGTTGTCAGCTGGCTCTCCAGGCATGCGTTCTGTTTCACAGTTTCGACACACACGTCTACCGGAAATCCTGTATAATTCAACCAATCCAATGACGACTTCGAAACTCCTGAAGTGTTTCCACTTTTGTGTGCCGTATGCATCAGACGTTCAGCCAACGGTCCGTGGACGTGACGTCTGAGGCTGAGACTAGGAAGGACTCCGCCTTGGTAGGATGCAGCCTTCCGTTTGAGAAGCACCCTATAAGAATGTGTATGTGCACAGGTGTGTAGTCTCTGTTTACAAAGTTACATCGCCAACTACTGGCCTGCATGAATAATACAGCATTTTTAGTCGTTTTTGCGGATTCGTGTGAAGGGGGATCGCAACGTTGTTGTCCGTACGCAAAACTTTTCACATTTTAGTAGATTGTTGTTGAGTAAATGTACCCTAAATGAATAGCCAATACACATAAAAAGTTTTCTGTTTGTAGTTGAAAATGATAAAACACTTAGAAGCAGGGTTAGTTGTGCTTCTACCTGGAGTTATGAAACCCTGCAGTGCAACAGGGTTAGCAGCCAGAATTTTACAGTGTGAATTAACTGCTTATGGCTAGATGGCTAGCAACAGACAACCAATCACGTGCCTCATATTCACACGTTTTGGACAGTCACGGAAGCGTATAAACAGTCATTTCAGCATTTGAGGCGAAAAAAGTCAAATGGTGACGTTAAACGCGTAAAACTGGAGTGAAGACAAGACTGTTTTATTCTTACCTTTATAGTCACTTCCGGTTCCATCGTCCTGAAGTCAATTGGTATTTTTAATGGGGTTTTAATTAAATAAAGTTTGTGTTTAACACAAGCTCAAGATACTGTCACATTTTATTCTACAACATAAAGTACATCATTTATATACTTGTGTTTCCAGTAAAATATAATCCAATATATAATACGAAGATGCGTAATGCTAAACCAGTCATTCTTGAGACATGGGACAAAACGCATTCATATGCAATAAAATGGATAAAATTTTTATTTTTTTTAATGTTGAAAAAGAGCTTGTTTTATCAAAAGCAACACTTAATAATATCTCCTATCAAAGCAAGGTTGTTTTTTTAATGACACATGCATGTTTAATACGTAAAAGTTGCGTCACCACTTTTTGTCAACACCGTCAGACATTCAATAAAATGTAATAAAATCAGGGAATATCAGGGGCAGCTGTCACTCTAAAGGACCCCCTTGCCACCATTCACCTCTGCAGAGTATATCGGTGTCAGACAGGCTCTGCTAAATTATAGTTTTAGAATATTTTAAATCCTAATCCTTTGTCACAGCCATGATATGTCAACACCATCTTCCAATTTCTGAGGAAATTATTTGAAATATTTAGATAATTGTATTCTCCTGAAGCAGGTTCCATTAGCATGCAGCATCAACAGAAAAAAATAAAATGGCTACTACATGAACTCCATTGGTTTTGTGAAAGAAATGCCAAATTTGGCAACACCGTCAGACGTCACCACCATAAGAGTTTGTGTTCCGGTGATATATCAAAATACTTCAATGTGACTCTTGAATAAAAGCTTTATAAACAATAACATACTCACTGTTTGTTGTGTTTGTTTTAATACAGTAATTGACTGATTCAATGTATTTGATAGTTAAAATTACTACAAATTCAGGTTTTCGTCACCTCCGTCAGATGTGTCAACTCCGTCCAATCAATGACACTGACGCCACAAAAATGCAAATAAGAACATTAACTCATGAGTTTAATGTAGGGAAAGACGGGGTAAAATGCCCCGTGGCAAGAAGACAAACAGATTTATGTCAACTATAAAAAGCACTTTTATTTCTTATTTACCACTTAGTTACCAAATTAGTGAAAGGAAAGGAATGCTATTCCAAATCAGAAAAATAGCAATTATTTATTTGAAGTGTCACTCATTTAGATCTAATCATACAGTGATCAAATAACAAAGATTCTAACTGAACTTAAACAGAAAAAATACTGAAAACCGAAATGTTAATATTTATCCAGAAAGTCCATTCCACTTTTCTCACCACGAGATGGTGCAGTTTCATTACAAAACATGTTAAACACAGCACAGAATGCTCTTTTTACAACTTAATAATCTAAAAGTCTGTTGTCTGTTTTTAGGTAACAAATTATTATTATTATTTTTTTACAAATTCTTTTAGTCTAAAACGGATGGTTTACGTTTCAGTTATCATCATGTAGGCTATGAGATAATTATAAAAATGCATTCTGCATTCTAAAAGATACTACATTTCTACAGTACTGCTATAACACTATCTACTGACACTAATACGCTTCCTGTGCATCCGTTTGCTTGGGCAGTTTGTTTTGGTGAAAGCTTCAAGCCAGCTAACCATGACACAGCACATTCACACTGCACTCCTCTGACTCTGAGGCTCATTATTCTTGAAGCACACTGTACTTACAGAGAAGAAATATTCACAGCATCCTCGCGCAAAATTCCTCTATGCATATTTTTTCTTATGTTCATGCATTTTCATTGTGAGGTTTGCAGTTTGTGTGTGTATACAGTGTCTTGCAATTATCAATGGTCCATACGTTAACAACTTAACACACAGATTAACAGACCGTTTTTATTATTTAGCATTCATACATTTTTTACTTATTCAACCTATTTTATTTTTATTATTACTATATTATATTAGTTTTCAAGTGCAGTTTTCATTTTATTTACAGCCAATAACTGGCTTCAATAGCGTGCAATATGTGAGATAAGAACATAATTCAATGTGAGAAAAAAAAAATCGATGTAATTAATGTTTCAATATGAATATTTCCAGCTAACAGGAGCATTCTCAGAACTTTGGCTAAGGTTCTCTCAAAGTTATGAACATTAGGATATTAAGTAAAGATCATGTTCCATGAAGATATTTAGTACATTTCCTATAGTAAATATATCAAAGCTTAATTTCTGATTAGTAATATGCATTGCTAAGAACTTCATTTGGACAACTTTAAAGATGATTTTCTCAATATTTTGATTTTTTTGCACCCTCAGATTCCAGATTTTCAAATATTGTCCTATCCTAACAAACCATACATCAATGGAAATCTGATTTATTCAGATTGTATAATGTATAACTCTCAATTTAAAAAAAACTGACCCTCGTGACTGGTTTTGTGCTCCAGGGTCACACATGATAATGATGATGAAAACTTCCGCAATGTTTGCACAACCAAGAAAAAAAGAAGAAAAAAAAAGGTTTCTAAAACATTCAGTTTTGAATGTTCAGATATCATTAATTTTTATAACTTAATGAGAACGTTAGCATATTTTTGTTGCGTTTATTGTTTGCCAAAAAAAATAAATACTTGCATTAAACATACAATAGATATTTTCCATATTAAATATCTTTTGTAGGCAGATAATTTGTGACTTGATCATATATGTAGGTTAAGAAACACGTACTAGTGTAATGAAACCTTCGCACGTGACCCACCGAGCCGCATCCGCTTCCACGACGCTTCCCCAGATGGACGTGACTTCCACCACGAGCCGCGAAACCACGCCTATCTGATTAATATGCAAATGACGCACGTAGCGTGAGGGCATTCTGCGCGTTATAAAGCGCGCAGCCCCTTCCTCTCAGCAGCAGCATCGGTGCGGAGCAACGACACAGCAACAGACCAGTCCACACGGTCAAACTACTGCTACAACCAGGTAAGACACAAGCTGCCACTAGTTAGTCATTTAAAACACCTTTCATAAAAAAGTTACAGTCTTAAAGCGCAGAATATGCGGTTTTGGGTGGTGTTTTCTCTCCATAATATATGTAATAAAATGTTTAGAATCTCTATATGGCACTCTACTATCATTAGGATGTGTATTTAGTCACATATTTACTGTAATATGCAGAGAGATTATGTTGAAAGCTGATCCTCATTCATTCCTGTTGAAGTCAACATTTGCAGTCTGACTGGTGTTACGTAACAATCGTCTATAACGTTACACATCATGAATACAACAATTCTCTAATATTTCCACGCGGTTTTTGTAACTTGCTTCTTGTGAACTCAAACACGACCTGTTGCTGCTCGTTTCAACATAAAGGTTATTTTTAGGTATTGACGTATACACGCACGCCTTTCTCGTTCACGCAGCGAGTATCGGCGAGCATTGTAGTGTATACTGCAGCATGTGGTTCTGTTCTGCTGGATGCTGGTGTGTAACTCGGGTTTGTGAGTCACCTGAAGTCTGCGTGCTTCGAGAAGTCCTCCGCATGGACCGATGCGCTTCTCGCTTCCTGAACCGCAAAGCATTCTGGTGCTTGTGGTTTTTATGGCTGCATTTAGGGACGCTTGACTACATAAAGGTCCCGTTCTGCACAATTTTTCCGCGAGATGAGTCAGTATTTCATTCAGCATGTGCAGAATTTCCCCATTTATGATCTCGAAATAAAATGCACAATTTGCGTCAACTCAACACCGCCCTCTACCCGGAAAATGTCTTAATTACTGTAATAAAGTAATCAGAATCGACTGAGAATCGGTGTTATTTTAGTATATAGTTGAGATGCTATTATAGGATCATTGATGTACTATAGTTTTATTTAAAATTTAATTTTTTAAAGTTTAAGTTTTGATTTTAATTTGACTTAGTTATTACTAAATATGTCTATAGTTGTTACTTTTGTTGTAGCTTTAGTTATTGTAGTACATGTTAAGCTAAATGAGAAATTTCTTGCCAACATCTTGAAATTTATTTAAAATAAGTGTTCGTAAGTGTTCTTGACATCCAATGATATACCAACTGTAACTAAATATTCCAAGTTACTGTTAAAATAGTCACAATTTTATTAAAATATCAATATTTCTCCAGCAATACAACACCAACTTCAACTCTAAAATGTTTATTTATTGGTTAAAAAAATTAAAATAAATAAATGCAAATGTAATCCACTCATAAGTGCATGTTCTACATGGTCTCTCAAGTATTAGCATAATTCATTAAAGTGTTTAGTCTTCTAGTGATGATGAATGACTACAGACGTTAGGGACGGTCTCTAAAGTGTGTGTGATGAATCATGAGTGAGGGGCTCTTAAAGGGGTCCTATTATGCTCTTTTACAAAGTCTTGATTTTGTTTTGGGGGTGTACTAGAACATGCTCTCATGCTTGGTGGTTCGAAAAACACATTATTTTTCACATAATTTACATTATTACAATACCTTTCTCCCGAGCCTGGCACAAACGGCTCGATTAGTTCTGGCTTTGATGAAGGTCCGCCTTCCGAAAAACAAAATGTGATGTGATTGGTTAGCTGTCCCAGTGCGTTGTGATTGGCGAACAGCTTAGATGGTGTTTCAGTACTGCCACGGCCCTTGCTCCATCTTTCAACAAAAGCTTTTGGCGAATCCGGCACTACTCCCTCATGTTGTGGAAGCTGTCCTCAGTAAAAATGCGCAGCACACAATAGCAAATTGGGGTTATAATGCTCAGGAACAGAGTTAAAAAATAAATTGCAACCACTGTTTCCTGACATCATCCGCTTTCACGGAGGTGAAAAAACAGTGTTTCAGGCGGTCGCACACCGGACGAGAAGCGCAGCGTCGCGCCACGTCTTTAAAATTCAAATACATTATTTTCTATGAGTGTAGGCACAGCGACGGCACCGTTCGGCGTCTGTCTGCGGCGCCCAGCTACATCGGGTTGTACTTGTAAGAATTGTTCTAGACATGCCGAATATTTGCCGCTACAGCACTGCAGCTCTTCTTCTTGGTTTTCTCTGATGCACTAACTCTGCAGCACCACCTCTTCATCGTCTCGTCTGATGCACTCACTCAACCAAGCGTTCTAACCACAACCTCGCTCCTCCCCACCCCCCAACCATTCCAATTTCTGTAGGCGGGAATTATTTGTAATGATATTCTAATGAGCCGCTTTGTGATATCACAAAGCCCAGAAAACAAACATTGTAGTCCAAACGAGCCGTTCGTTGTAGTTCTTGAAAAGGGATTTTTTTTTTTTAAATGAAATATCTTTCTTTGGAGTGGACTTTGAGATTTGTAACTTTCTAGATCTTTTTTATGCCCAAACATACACACTACACACTGACTAAAATTAAAAAAGTGAAAAAGCATAATAGGACCCCGTTAAGGTGGTTTGTTGATCTGATTTGTATGAATCCTTTAGATCCTTTCTTCTACGTGCGTCTGCACACACAACACTGCAGAGGCTGGAGGACGTGACGGATGAAACCTTTACACCTTTGACCTTTTCCCTGTGTGTTTGTTTTTTAAATAAACTGAGTAAAATTGGAAGTTTTAATTTATACAAATTACTAATTTTAAAAAGCGGAGTAAATAATATTATAAAGCGGTGTTCCGGTCCTTGATTCTGATTGGTTGAGCCGCGTTCGAAGCTGTTGTAAATTACTCTACAATCATACACCCCTGTGAAGCCGTGGTTTACAGTGAATTTATAACAGCTAAGGGGGTTTTAGGCACTCCGCTTCACATCTAACAACTCCCCTTAGCTGTTATAAAGTCACTGTAAACCACGGCTTCACAGGGGTTATTGCTTTAATTTAATTGTAATTTTTTTTAATTTAAAACAATTTGGGGAATTATTATACAATTGAGGTATTAATAATTGGTTTTAAGTAACCTTTTTATATTATCTAAGTTACAGATTTATTTTTAAAATGAATTGAAAAAATAATAATAATTGATTTTAAAATAAACTGAATAAAATTAGACCTGTTAAATGACCTAAATGACATTTATTTTAAAATCAATTGAGAAATTAATATGAAAATAAATGGATTAGAATTAGACTTTTTAAATGATCTAAATGACAAACTTTTCATTGTAACAAAGGACAGAAATGTGCCTCGTGGTTACTACAGATGCTCGGTGAACCACGATTCTGTTGTAAGCAGTGTGGGGTTGAATCTGGCTCCCAACGTTTCCTGTCTATCTTTACTGTTTCTATAAAGAAATGTGGTGAAAATGAGGAAAAAGACAATTTCATTAATATGATTAACAAATTAATATAAGGGATATGAGATTAATATAATGTAAAAAAATCTTGTATAATATAACTTGTTTGTTTGCTGGTTTTTATTGTATTTGTTATACTTGTATTTTTTTTTAATTGTTTTTGCCATGAAAATAGCCTAAGATGCTGACATGGCATTAAATTAAAAAAAAAATACTAGTACTTCTACTACTACTATTCCAACAACTTCTCTGATTTTAATAAAATTAACAACTGGTAAAATTTTACACCGTTTGTGTAGGTCCAAATGAAATAAAATACCATGTGTCCAGTTGCTCCCATAACCTCTAAACAACAAAAAAAATGTATGGAATGAAAACCTCGTGATTCCTGTATCTTTCTTGAACTATCATGTTTTTCTCCTGAATTCTCCCTTTGGGTAAAGCTGCTGTGGCTCAAGGAAATAACACCGGCTTTGAAAGCTTTCCTGACCTTTGAACGTAGAGCGATTTCTGAATGAGAAGGAAGGCCTTGAACCTCCAAGAATAAACATGATCCCCATATCTGGAGACTAGAGTTTGCATCACACTTCAGCTCTCTGCATTCTTCCATTGGTGTGAAATGCAGTTGCTAAACCTACAATGCCATATATAAGAAATATAGTGTAACTTCAATTTTACTTTTGAATTGAACGGGTAATAAAACTAAACCCCAAATTCAACATTCACCACTGTCTGCTGGCCATTAAGAGGTGGATAGGAGTGTATTCTCAGTAGAGGAATGTTGAAGTCAATGCATGTGTTCGTGCAGGATCTGACGGATGAACTCGCCCTAGTGGACGTGATTGAAGATAAGCTGAAAGGAGAGGCTATGGACCTGCAGCATGGAAGCCTCTTTCTCAAGACGCACAAGATCGTGGCGGATAAAGGTCAGATTTCAAAATCTACCATTAAAGGAAAATGTGAGGGGGTTGGGTGGGGGGAGTTAATTTATGGTTGATGATAAGGAGCAGACCGTTCGATTAGTGCTGATGTGATGATAAAATGTACCAGTGAGGTAACCTAGATTCAAAATGATTAGTATTTATGTAATGGAATTACAAAATTGTGGACTGTGTAAAAATAATTATAAGCAGCATTCCGTTATTTAAAAGGGAACTGCATCTTAATCCGTTATATAAAATGTTTTGAAAAGGGAAAAAAAATGTAACAAAAGTGATGAATAACTTACCAGTTTTCTATGAGCTAGAAGAATCCATATCCCCCTAAATGCCCAGACCGATCGACGTGGTAGCATCTGGTCTAAAAAGTTGCATTTGAACACACTGCAAAGTCTACGGCCAACTAGCACGCATGTTCTGTGCCTGTGAGAGAAAATAACTCCGTACCAGCAGGTGGCAGTAGTTTGCATTCATCATTTAACAAGGGAAACCGGAAGAGCTAAGACTAAGACCTTAAACAAAGCTGCACTTGCATACCATTATCAAACCATAGATAAGAGCTCTTGACTTTTGTTACTTAGTTTTTCTTCTCGTATAATGGTTCGCTAAACTGAACGGCCAATCACAGTGATCTCTCTCAGCAACAAGTTTTGCCGTCAATGTAACATGATCAGTCGTCTAAAAGGCCGCCGCTGATGGTCTGTAGTGCCAACGGTGCGGAACGCAATGCAAAATATAGGATAGACACTCAGCTTATGCTCATCACGCAAATCGCATAAAAGACTTGATTAACGTTCACAGTCGTTTCCAGTAGATTCTATGTTGGCATGTTGCTAAGCTAACAAAGTGCAAATGCACAAATATTGGGTGCAGTTTTAATTGGATTGATCTCTTATATACAGAATAACTAATTTGAACAACTCTTTATGCACAGCAACTCACACAAGTGCTCATGACGTGAAATGCATAAAAGACATGATTAACGTTCACAGTTGGTTCCAATTGTTTTAACACAGGGGTGTCAGACTTTTTGTTTCATAAAACAAGTTTACCAAATAAGCCAACTAACTCAAGTGACAAGTCGGACTAACTGAAATAAACCTGGCTTATTTGGTAAACTTGTTTTATGACACCGGCCCCAGATCCAGCTAATCAAGTGCTTCAGGCTTATTTGAAAACTACATGGTTTGTGTGTTAGGTTTGAGCAGGGTTGGAACTAAACTCTGCAGGGCTGCGGCCCTCCAGGAACTGAGTTTGACACCCCTGCCTTAACAGAATGATTTCATAAATTGTATTAACTTGAGAAATAATTTTGAAGCCACTGTACTATAAATGTCTATTCGCACCAAGAACAAAATGAAACCTTGCAGGTGAAAGGTCTATTCAGACTAGGAGCAAGACATAAAAGCACTCCCATCCTGTTGTATAATGCACCTTAAATATTATTGTCTTGTTGTTTTTCTTTCCAAATGACGAAAGAAAATATCCAACAATTTGTTAAAAACAACCTTTCATTACAGAAAAAAATGAATTTTTTGCCAGTGTAAACTGGTCTGTAGGAGTTCTTGTAGGAAGTCTAAACCTAGGTCTTCAACCCTGCTCCTGGGACCAACTGTCCAGCAGAGTTTAGCTCCAACCCTAATCAAACACCTGAACCAGCTAATCACGGTCTTCAGGATTGCTTAAAAATCACAGACTAGGTGAGCTGAAGCAGGTTGGAAAAACTTTACAGGACAGTGGGTCACCAGGAGCAGGGTTGAAAACCTAGTGTCTAAACAAGGGGTGACCAATCCTGGTTCCTGGAGATCTACCTACTTGCAGAGTTCAGCTCCAACCCTGATCCAATACACCTTTCCGTAATTATCAAGTGCTCCTGAAGATCTCCTTAGCTTGTTCAGTTGTGTTTGATCGGGGATGGAGCTCAACTTTTTGCAGGGAGGTACATCTCCAGAAACCGAATTGGACACCCCGCTCAAAACAAATATGTGCAACTATTTAGTCTTGGTGCATTTTCCAAAAACATCGTACGCATAATCAAATCATAGAGACCAATGGTGCCAGTGGTTTCTACGATCTACTTAAGCTTGGTCTGAACAGGCCTTGAGAGCGTGTTTTGACAGGAATGTAGAAACCAAGGGAACGTGGGATCTTTCCGAAATTGTTCTTTCCATGTGATTTCCAGACTACAGCGTGACGGCAAACTCCAAAGTGGTCGTTGTGACCGCTGGAGCCCGTCAACAGGAGGGCGAGAGCCGCCTGAACCTCGTCCAGAGGAACGTCAACATCTTCAAGTTCATCATCCCCAACATCATGAAGTACAGCCCCAACTGCATCCTTCTGGTGGTCTCAAACCCAGGTATGTCATACCTAGGCTGACATTACGACGGAACGTCCTTTTGTGCTCAAAGGTTTCAGTTGACGTCATGTAGCCTCCAAGACCGTAAACCAATGTCGTCTTCTCTTCAGTTGACATCTTGACCTACGTGGCCTGGAAGCTGAGCGGTTTGCCCAGGAACCGTGTGATCGGCAGCGGCACAAACCTGGACTCTGCTCGTTTCCGTTACCTGATGGGAGAGAAGCTGGGCATTCACCCATCTAGTTGCCACGGTTGGGTCATTGGAGAACATGGCGACTCCAGCGGTGAGGACTGCAAAGATGATTGGGAGCACAGATGTGCTGCAAGAGCACAATGAACACCAATCATTTTCTTCGTAAAATGTAAACGTCCTCTTTCTTTTATAGTTCCTGTGTGGAGCGGAGTCAATGTGGCTGGAGTGTCCCTCCAGGGTCTGAACCCTGACATGGGAACAGATAAAGACAAGGAGGACTGGAAGAGCGTCCACAAGATGGTGGTTGACAGGTGAATAATTTGTAACCCACTAGACTTCCATACAGTGGTTTAGTACACTAATAATAGTCTTAGGACGACATATAGAAAGATTTTAGGGAGAGAGGCCACGTCGTTTTTCTTTGTTTATATATGATCTCTAATAGACGTGTACTCGGTGTTGCCATTAGAAAGCATATAAATCAAGTCCTTGTGTGAATGCATTTAGTCTGGACTCATGGTTGTTTATCTGTGTTTAACATAAATCTGGTTGACAGGTGAATAATTTGTAACCAACTAGACTTCCATACAGTGGTTTAGTACACTAATAATAGTCTCAGGACGACATATAGAAAGATTTTAGGGAGAGAGGCCACGTCGTTTTTCTTTGTTTATATATGATCTCTAATAGACGTGTACTCTGTGTTGCCATTAGAAAGCATATAAATCAAGTCCTTGTGTGAATGCATTTAGTCTGGACTCATGGTTGTTTATCTGTGTTTAACATAAATCTGGTTTGTATTGGCAGTGCATATGAGGTTATTAAGCTGAAGGGCTACACTTCCTGGGCTATTCTTGGTCAAGGTGAGGTTCTCTTGTTTATTTCTGCGTGACCAGCAATCTTCATTAACCAAATATTGTGAACCATTTTTCTAGTACAGAGTGTGTGTGTGTGTGTGTGTGTGTGTGTATATATGTGATAAACTCCATTCCAAACCGCCATCTAATGACTACATGGGCAGCTACCTTTTATGGCAACATCCTAATCCAAGTGAGGATATATATATATATGTATGTATGTGTGTGTGTGTGTATATATGTGTATATGTGATAAACTCCATTCCAAACCGCCATCTAATGACTACATGTGCAGCTACCTTTTATGGCAACATCCTAGTCCAATTGAGGGAGTTGAGAAGCTCTTCGTGGACAGAAACTCCTATGCAACACTAACTTAAAGCACACCGAAGAACTGACTAATGTTCACAGATGGTTCCAGTATCATAACAGTTGGATCTTATGTTAGCATGTTGCTAAGCTAACAATCTTATGTACCGAGTACCTGATCTGAACAACTCTTCGTGTGCCACAAATAGCACTCATTATGCAAAGAGCATAAGACTTGGTCGACACTCATAGTAGGTTCCAGTACATCTTACATTAGCATGTTCCTAAGCTAACAAAGCACACACACTGGGTGCAGTTTTAATTGGATTGATCTATCTTGCGTACGAATAACAACTCTGAACAACTCTTCATGGATGGCAACAAGTGGCACAATTAGCGCTCATGACGCAAAATGCATAAAAGACCTTCAGATTGTCCGCTATTTTGGATGAAATGCTTCTCCGAGTTTGTCACGGTGCATTCTGGAATTGAATTGTATTCAACTATGACGCTGCTTTAGGTTAGGCCAAAATGACATTATCTATCTAATAAGGCAGAATTTCATTTGGAGCAGCCTATGATATCTAAAACTGTTGGTTAGGTGATTAGCCTGCTAAGTTTTGGAACCGTGCTACAAAGGACAATTATCTGACACTTGTTGCATATTCACAGGGAATGCATGGTGTGAATGAAGAGGTCTTCCTCAGCGTGCCTTGCATCCTGGGTAACAGCGGCCTGACAGATGTTGTCCACATGACCCTCAAGCCAGAAGAGGAGAAACAGCTGGTGAAGAGCGCTGAGACCCTGTGGGGCGTTCAGAAGGAGCTGACCCTGTGAACCACGGTCTCCTCCCAAATGTAGCTAGTGTCACAAATTACAAACCTCGAGTCCTGCCTATCTTTCTCCTGACCTCATAAATCTCATTGCCTTTAACCAGATATCTCCACGCGTCTCAGACCTTCAGATTGTAACGCTCCTTATTTTAGCTGCAGAGGAGAAATAGTTTATTCCTGTTGTCTTGACAAAGATCATCAGCCTTTGTAAAAGTGTCTGTGCGTATTATTGTATATTCAACAAAGAAGCACTTGTGAACAAGGTGATGTGCAATTTGAGTCTCTTATTTTATTCCATTGTGAGGTCAACTAGCATCAGATCATCAGCCTTTGTAAAAGTGTGTCTATGTGCGTATTATTGTATATTCAACAAAGAAGCACTTGTGAACAAGGTGATGTGCAATTTGAGTCTCTTATTTTATTCCATTGTGAGGTCAACTAGCATTCCGTACTTGTGTCCTGCGTCACGCAATTGATCATTTCAACAAGACCAACACGTAAAACCAAAGCTACGAAGTATAAGTTTTATGAAATATCATGGTGTTTACATGTACAATAAAATTATGTACATAAAAAATCAGCTCAGAAAACTACCAATGCTGGAAAATCGTATTTTTTTTTTTTGTGAGCTATTACATTTTTTTGGCAGGATTGACATCAAAATATAAAAAAGAAATGTGCACAATAGTCCTTATTTGTTAAACAAGCAGAACAAAAATCTGTAAATTGGTCGTAAAACTTGTGTAACTTTTCACATTGAGATGAATGCAATGATTTGTCCTAGAATTTTTACATTCAATTTTGAATTTCTACATTTAAATGCTACAATTAACGCAAGAATGGTTTAACAAATGGTTTTAAACTGTTGCATAGAATTTGTTCCAACAATTTAACTTGGAACTGTTTTAAAAGGTTTGTTTTATGAACCGTTTTGAATTGTCATGTTAAATTTAATGCAATGGTTTTACCTTTGCGTGGTTTTACGAACAATTTCAAATTTCTACATTAAGTGCAACAAGTAACTCAAGAATGGTTTAACGAATGATTTTGAATTGTTGCATTGAATTTGATGCAACATTTTAACTTGGAACTGTTCTACATTTTCAGTTCATTAAATTTGACAACTAACACAAAAACGGTTTTATGAACTCTTTTGAATTGTTACGCTGAATTTATATGCCATGGTTTCTACTATATGCAACTATTTCGAATTTCTACATGAAATGAAACCGGTAAGAATGGTTTAACGAATGATTTTGAATTGTCGCCTTGAAATGGAATGCAACGGTTTACCTTAGATTAGTTTTACAATCAATTTTGAATTGCTACACTGAATGCGAGTTAACAATTTTTAATTGAATGCAACAATTTGCATAAGAATGGCTTTACGAATGAATTAAATGGTCCATTTAATAACATGACAATACAAATAACTGTTTACATGCAAAGAGAAATTGACTTCATGAGCAGAACACAGTTTAAGACATTTTAACATCATAAACATTGCTTGATTGTGCATGTAAACGCACTCAAGTTAATGACTTTGCGTGACTTTGTACTGAAAGTCAACCACAAATGCACTGATTGTCTACCGGAAAAAGCACTTTTACATAAATATCTTGGAATAAAACCTTTTACAATGGCTTAATTTGTTCTCAAATTCATTGTAAATGACCGTATAACACAAAATCATGTTGAGGTGTCCATCTACTTGTAATTTGTGTAGGTGTACACCATATGTATCAGCTGGAAACAAAATGCTGTTGTCAATGTATTTTTATTTCTGTCAGTGTTGGTTCATAAGAGCAACGACACACTCCCAGCCGTGTGGTGATGCACAGCGACGGTTAAAGCTGTTACTTGAAGCGTATGATTGTAGAATTGAGACGCAGCCCATGACTGAATGAACATTTTGAACAAAAGCTTCTATCTGTCTCTTTGTTCTGCAGGCTGAATAGAAATAACAGCTGTACAGAAACAAACTGGGTTAGTGGACCATGTTGTCTAACATCTCTGTCAAAAGTTTACTAGAGCATTTCAGGTGCAGGTAGTTATATGGCATCAATATCAGGCCCGTCTAGAATTCAATACCTCAAGGTCAAAATACAAGTTAAGTAATAAATCAGTGGCACCGGACAATTATTTATTACGCACACTTGATGTGAAAACATGATGCAAGATGCTGACCATTCACAAATCTATCATGATTCAAGATCATGTTCTTTTATTGATCTGCCCGACATCATAATCTACAGCCTGGAACAAATATTAGCAGATAAGGGGGTAAAGTCTCACTAAGAAACAGCAACTAAAGTCTTAAAAATCTCATTCCCATCCCAAACGTACATTAAAACAACTGACTGAAATGCAACAGGTAAGAAGTGTTAATTTGTTTTTAAACGTTTGTAAGAATAAAAAGTTTTAAAAAATTTAATTAAAGTACAGTACAACAGTTTATAGCTTTTCAGTTTTCAAACATTAGTCACAAACCAAACTTTGTGTAACAACATACCAATAAATCTGGAACAGCAATAGTTCCCAATTGCAATGAGATAAATAATAAATTCAGCAAAATAAATGTCATAAAATTGAAATATGGAACCATAAGTCGTCACTGTTCTCCATAAATTGGGTGAATCTCGCAGAAACTATCAAGAAATTACATATTTCACCCCAAAATCAAAAGAAGGGAATTAGTAATATTTTGCATAAAGAAAACTTGCATAAAGATGTTTTTTTGCATTGTGATAAAGCACATTTTCCCTCAAATTCTCATTGTAAAGAAAAATGTAATTATAAAATATGTTTAAAATATCTGACCTATGCTGGTTTTAATATAAAAAAAAAAATAATCCAAAATGTTCGGACTGGATTATTTTTATTACTGTATTACAGTATTGACTTTTTCCCCTCTTACTTTAATGAGAAATTTCGGGAGTAAATGTACCTATTTTTCCCAAATTTTTACTTAAATGTACTTAATATTTTACACAATGTAAAAAATCTTAATAGTCCTAAATTTTTTCTGCAGAAAATTTATATTTTATTTATTTTGAGGTGGATGTTCCTGTGAGATTCACATAGTTATGGAGTATGACAACACTTTGAAACATCCATATCCACATCTGAGAGCAATGTCCTCATACACTTCCCGCAGACGTCACAGTTTAAAAGTTATCACTCTGTACGGTTAATAACAGTAGTATCTAAAGCCAAAGACCCAAACGCCTGCCAGTTTAACACAAGAAGCTCAAATGAAAGAAGGAACAAAGTCTACGACGTCTCATTTACTTCTAATGCTCCGGTCTTAGCGTTCAAATATCGTACCCATTTTGCCTTTTCCAAATCGAGAAAATAAAGTCAGGTACAGAAGCTACAACTCTCACAGAAGTAAAAGATCATAAACAGCTGAACTCCCACTGACATACCACAGAGTGACTAGATCCGAGTCTGGCACGTGCGATCAGAGCTGGAGCGCAGGGTCAGTAGAGGTCACTGAGTCCGGCCGTCTTTCGCGCTTTCTGCATGAGCGCTCGCAGCTGGAACTGCTTGCGGGACAGCAGACGCACATGCTGAGGACAAACGGGGATGTCAAACATAACATTACTAAGAATAGTAGAATAAATGCCAAGTTTGTGCCAAAACTTGCATTGTAGAGGGACAAACTGACCTTGAGGAAGACCTCCAGGTCGATGACTCCTCTCCGCAGGGCTTCTCCCAGGTAAAAGATGGTGTCCTCTATAGCGTTCTCCTCTGCGTACAGGTTCAGGATCTGCTTGTAGAGCGGGGCTGTTGGGATGATCACGTCATCAATGTCATTGTTTTCCGACTGGTTCTCCATCTTCTCCAGAGCTTCGCTCAGTTCCTCGTCCTTCTTCTTGAGAAGCTCAATGTTTCTGTCCACCTCAGCCTAAGATCGGCACAAAAACACATCTAACGTCATGCTTCTTCAAAAACAGTGTGATCTCAATGGAGACCAACCTATAGAGCAATAGCAAATGTTCGTACCACTTCCTGGTCCAGGCGGGACACCATGTCTTCCAGCTTCTGGTGTCCTTTCTTCAGGTCTTCCTCAGTTCTCTTCAGGGCGTCCAGCTCGGCTTGTGCTCTGTCCATCTCCTCTTTCATTCTCCAGCGCAGTTTATCGCTCACGGCTGAGATCAGCGATGCTCGGATGGTGTCCTCACCGATGGTACCATCATGACTTGGACCTGGAAGACAAAGACAAATTTATTGCCAGTGATTTGGGGAATTAAATGGTCAATGAAAAGCGACGCTGATACAGCACAGTGCTGCGAGATCCAGTGAGAAGCATTCCAATTCTGCACAGAATTCTCTGTTATAAACAGAACAAACAGCGCTGATGTTAGGGCTGTGACGGTCGCCATAACCGCGCGGTGGTCTGTTGCCAACCGCAGTAGTGCACGTGACGTCACACACTCCACAACAAGCATAAAATACAACGTTTTGTATACAAGTGTAATAATAGTGAGTTGCAATAGAATTAGTTATTTATAGCATATACCATTTAGCTGTAAATTGTTTTATTTAAACTATCACAAATGACCTGAAACGCCATACACAGCTTTCCTTTAGTTTGAGCGCGGGCAAATTCCAGTTTATTCTGCATTCAGCAAATTAATTTCGTGTTGAGCAATGGACCTTCTTGGGAAAACCAAATACTATATAGCCGATCTGGAGCCATCTATAAGACTACTACAAGAGCCATCTCCATTTATGGCACCCATCCACGTTTGTACAAATGTCTTCAAGTTCCCCTGAGTGCAAACGCCTGGCTTGTCAGGTAGGTATTGGTGAGGTTTTCTCCAAACTGGCCAAATACAAACGAGACCGCGATAAATGGAAGATGCTAACAAGAAAGGTGGCAACGTAGACCGCGATTCCTATTCCAAAGCTATTTGCGAAAGGAGGCAATTGATCATTGCTTACGGAGGTGGATGCCTGCTGTTTGGAAACGCAGTTGTATAAGACAATTATACAGAAATATTTAGATGACAGACTTTGCTCGGGCATTTCAGAACGACCAAAACAACATTTCAGATGCTGTGCAACGAGATCGGTCCGCTGGTTAGTCAAGTTATCCCGACCCATCCTGCAAAGTCACATGACTTTTTTGATGCGCTTTTGATGCGAATTTATTCAGTAAATGTGTTTCCATCTTAGTTTATGCATATTTTTTCTTATCGGATAAAAAGTGTATCCTACTCAATTGTGCGCACAAGTTTTTTTATGTGCATTTTTATAATTTATGCACATCTTGGCATTTCCATCCAGCGTTTTTTATGCAATATTTCAAAATGTGCATAAAAATAGGTGGAGGGAAACATAGCTACTGAGGCAAGATACCCTTTCTTAGCCACGTTTGCTAAAAAGTATCTATGGATTTGCGCAACAAGCACACCATCTGAACGAGTGTTCAGTGCGGCTGGAAACATCGTAACACCGGACAATATCAACATTTTCGTTTTTCCGTCAAATTTTTTAAAATCTTTATAGAAAATCCAAGGTAGGCTTAAAGCATTTATGTTTACATACTAATTGTTATCAGGCCTTTGCAAGTTGTTACAAATTTTAACATTTAACTTTCTTATTTCAACTACTTTCTTTTTAATTGTATTATTTATTTTATATTTATTTTAGTGTTTTGCAGGCTGCGTGTTTGCTGACGGACGTGCTAAAATAAACACGCACATTTGTTAATAGATGTTTGAGCCTCATTTTTTTTTTTTTTTGTGTTTCAAAATTATATATATAAAATTTATGTAAATATTTAATTATATATAATTTTTATATATGAACTATACCGTCGGTAGTTGGTTAATAAAAAATCTGCCACCGTCACAGCCCTAGCTGACGTAGAAAACCAGAAGTAGTGACGCGAACTATAACCACGGTGTTGTGACAGAAACAGTTGAATGTTATTACATTATTTATTTCAGGGTTTGTACAACCTTTTTCAGAGAAATTCAAGCACTTTTCAATGACTTTCAAGCATTTCATACAACTATTTCCAGCACTTTAAATCTCTAAAAAGTATAAATGTATATATATATATATATATTTTATTTTTATTTTTTTTTTTTAAAAAGCTGAATTTGAGAATATAGCCACTGAGATCATGCAAAAGAGCTGCA